GGGCAGGTCCTTCAGCATCTTGGCCACCTCGTAGTGACGGGCGGCCACCAGGCTCTGCCCGTCGATGGCCTCGATCATGTCCCCAACGCTGATGACCGGGATGCGATCGATGACACTGCCCTCCCGGATCCGCTGCAGGGACCAGCCGGGGGTCACCACGGCCCCCCAGCGTGGTCAGGGATGTCCCCAGGTGCCCCCAGTCCCAGGACACCTCAGGGGCCACCCAAGAGTCCTCATGTCCCACCATGATAATCCAGGACAACCCCTGGTGTCCCCCATCCCCATGTTGACTTGGGAACCTTCTGAGATGTCCCCATGGCCCCCCACCAGCCCCAGGACACCTCCTGTGGCTCAGGGACCACCCAGGACACCTCAGGACACCTCCTGTGGCTCAGGGACCACCCAGGAGACCCCATGTCCCCCAACAACAGTCAGCGATGTCCCTTGGTGTCCTCCTTCCCCATCCCCACGCTGACGTGGGCACCACTCCGGATGTCCCTACACCCCCCCCCAACCCCAGGGTGGCTCAGGGACCACCCAGGAGACCCCACATCCCCCAACAATGCTCAGGGATGTCCCTTGGTGTCCTTCCCCATCCCCACGTTGACTTGGGCACCACCCGGGACGTCCCCGTGTCTCCTCCCCAAGCCCAGGGTGGCTCAGGGACCACCCAGGAGACCCCACATCCCCCAACAATGCTCAGGGATGTCCCTTGGTGTCCTTCTCCACCCCCACGTTGACTTGGGCACCACCCTATGTCCTCCCCCAAGCCCAGGGTGGCTCAGGGCCCACCCTGAGCACCCCCAGGTCTCCTTGCCCGGTGACAATGTCCCCTGCCTAAGCGTGTCACCTTGATGAAGGCGTAGCCGGCCCCGTTGTCAGTGATGGTGAGACCCAAGGCCTCCTCCGACTTGAAGACCTCAACCTCCTTGCGCTGGCCCTTGGTGTGGGCGAAGATGAAGTCCTCCAGGCCGATCTGGCCACCCAGCAGCTTCTCCATGTCCACCTTGTGGGTGTTGAGGGTGCAGAACATCACCTGGCCGGGGCAGTGGCGTTAGTGCCTGGGAGAGGGACACCCGGGGACACCAGGGACACCGCCCCCGGGCCACGTGTGCCAGCCCCCTCCTCGGGGACACGTGGGATGGTCATGGGGAGGGAAAGACCTGGCAGATGTTGGAGATGTTCTTGGGGGCAAGTGGGACCCTCCTGGGGGACACAAAAGGTCCCTCTTCTTGAGATCCCACAGGACCCCCTCATGGGACATGTGGGACTGCCCCTTTGGGGGACAGGCGGGACCCCTCCCCCTGGGGACACACAGGACCCTCCTGGGGACAGGCAGGGACACCCCTTGAGTGACATGTAAGACTCCTCTCCCTGGGGACACCTGGCACCCTCCTGAGGGGGACACTGGACCCCTCATCCCGTTGGGGACACCCAGGACCCCCATGGGGACACCCGGGACCCCTCCATGCAGCCCTGGGGTCCCCTCGCCCCAATTCCATCCCTCCCCTCCCCGGAGGTCCCCTCTCCCCTTCCCTCTGGGTGTCCCCAGTGCCCCCCCCAAACCCCTCCAGGTCCCCATCGCTC